GACAAACCAGAAAGTTCTTCAAGTGAATGTGAATCCTGCAAAACTTTAAAAGAAAAAGTTGCAAAACTTGAGAGTACGGTTAAGAAGTTTAATACACCACACAAAGATCTTAATTTACTTCTAGACACTATGCATTTTTCTAAGGAAGGAATAGGTTTTGATAAAAATGAATCTAAGGATAAAAACGTTGAGCAAACACTTAGAAAACCTCCTAAGGCTCAACATAAGAAAGTTAAAAATCAGGATAATAGAAAACCTATTCAACCTAGGGACACTAGACAACCTAGACAAAAACCTAGGAATGAAAATGCGCATGATAGACAACCTAGGAAAAGTTATCAAAATGATTCTATGCATAAAAATAATTTTTCAAATAGACAAAATAATTCTAGAACACCTCAAAGGGAAAATTTTCAAAAACCAAGGTTTTCTCAAAACAGGATGAATATGGTCAGGCCCCCTAGCAACTACTATCAACCTAAGAGGATGCATAACCCAAACGTAGTTTGTCACTATTGCAATAGGGTAGGACATATAGCTCCTGTTTGCTTTACTAGGCATAGGCATTGGGCACAAAATGAATCACACTACCACTTTGCACCTAACACTCAAGGACCCAAAAAGACTTGGGTACCTAAATCTTATTAAATCATCTTTGTAGGTATGCTTGAAGGCATCAAGTGTACTTTGGTACCTTGATAGCGGATGTTACAAGCACATGACCGGAGATGCATCCAAGTTCCTACAAATAAAACCCGCTAAAGGAGGAAACGTAGTTTTTGGAGACAATAGCAAAGGAAAAATAATTGGGGTCGGCTCAGTAGGTAAGTCCGAAGACTCGTCCATAGATAATGTCTTGCTTGTTAAAGGTCTTAAACACAATCTCTTGAGCATAAGTCAATTGGGTGACAAGGGAAACCGTGTGACCTTCGATTCAAAATCATGCACTGTAGAACGCCTTAGTGACAATAAGGTCATTCTACGTGGTGATAGAATCGATAACATTTATATGGTTAACTTAGACAAATCTTCTTCCGGCTTTGCTAAGTGCCTCATGAGTAAAGAGGAAGACACTTGGCTATGGCACCGAAGGGTAGCTCATATGAACATGAACCTTTTGAACAAATTGGTTTCGCAAGACTTAGTAATTGGCATCCCAAAACTTAAGTTTGAAAAAGACACCATATGTGATGCATGTCAAAAGGGGAAGCAAGTTCGGGCTTCGTTTAAGTCTAAAAACGTTGTTTCAACGTCTAGACCGCTTCAACTTTTGCACATGGATCTCTTTGGTCCCTCTAGAACGAAAAGTTTTGGTGGCAATTACTTTGC